GGACTGCAGTCAGACCACCTGGTTTCAGATCTTCCCTCTGCTGCTGGCAAGGTGAATAATTAATTTCAGCAAGTTACTTAACTTTTGTAATCCTCAGTTCTCTCACCTCGAAAATGGAGATCACAACAATAATATGCATACCATAGAAGACTGCTATGAAGATCAACTGAGAAACACATGGAACACAATTAGCCCAATGCTGGCCAAATAGTAAACACTCAACAAATGTTGACTATTTTTTGTCTCTTTACTACCCTCAGCAAGGAAATACAGAGAATTTTTTTTCCCTTGGATTAAGTGTCCTACACAGCAAGCAGTGGAATAATTAATTTATAAAATATTGGATCTACAATTAAAAAAAAAACTATCTGGCAAAAGCTATTGTAATTTTCAGTGGGGAATGATTCTCTATTATAAAGAGTATTCATAATAATCACTTCCAATCGGCCACATCTTGTGCCAAGTAATCTATAGGCATTCTCTCATTGAATCCTCACAAAAATGGTATGAAGTAATTGGTTTTGTAAACCCAATGAAGTAATCTGAATGAAGTAAGTGAGTTATTAATAACATTTTACAGAGGGGGAAATCTGAGGCTTAGAGAGGCTTACTCACAGACTCAGTCACAGGATCCGAATTGAAAAAAAAATGGAGCCTAGAGGTCTGGTTGTGGCCCAGCCTCCGAATAATTCATATTTTATTTATAAATCCAATGCAGATCAAACAATTAGCTTCTTGGTAAAGTACAATGTTAATATTTATTTGTAAGAGAATCAGAAAGAAAAAAAAAATGACATTGGCAACAGCCAGAATTCCAAGTTTAAGAAACTCATGTGATCAACAAAGATAACAGCTCTGACAGGACGAATGTTGTCAAAGAGTTTAAAGAAAATGACTCAAAGTTTATGACAAAAGATAGATGGCTATTAAAAAAATTTCTGACGATCAAATAAGTAGTAGACAAAAGTTCTTTCTAGAACAAGAGGGATTATAAATTATATTGGTAAATAAAATGACTCTGCCTTTGGTATTTTAGGGAGTAAATAGCTATGAATTAGAAAATCAAAATAAAAGCCATTTCATAGTTTGAATTAAGTCTATGGAAAATATATTAGTTTAATTTCATAAACAATCATTCCAGACTGAAATTTGAAACCTTATGCAAGGCTGCCACAGAGTGGTCAAAATCTGGAACAGCAAGCTAAAATTAAAGCACTGAATACTGAGTAAAATTACTTACTATAAAATTAAAGTGGAAAAATAAAAACTCAGGTTCTTGAAATAAAATGTTTAAACTGTGAGGTCTATAATCTCTTCATTAATTAGAGCTTCAGATGTTAATTTTAGCAATTAAAATGATTAAAACATTTGACACCTGTGACAGCAACCAAATTACATCTGAATTTGAAACACACAGATTTAGCTCTGATTTATTTTGGATCAGTGCTATATTTGTTTCTGCCAGTATTTTATTCACCCATCACTTTTTCAGACTTGTGGTATGTGCTCAGTAGAACATTTTTAAATGAACACATGATACTCAATTATTGAAATATTACCACAATTTTTTAAAATATCAAAATATTATTTAAGAAACCAATATATATACTGATATTTTTACCTGTAACTTATTAGCAGTATTCCTTGCTTTGCTAACCCTAATACCTGATATCTCTATTATGTTTTCTTTTTTGGTTTTTAATTTTTTTAAAATTTATCTTTATTATTGAAAGTATTACAGCTGCCCCCTCCCCGCTTTTGTTCACTCAGCTTTAGATAGAAAGAGCCACTAGGACCATGGTCTAATAAGGAGTGCAGAAGCAATTACTAGCCATCAGGATTATCTTTCACAAGGCGGATCAAACACAGATGGTGTTTGCCCTTGGATCCTGTGTTGTATATTTAGCAGTGAAGTCTGGCTTTGAAGTTTGCCTTAAAAGAGAAAGAAGGCGCTGAGGGAAAGCTTTATGGGTTTCTTAAGTTCAAAAGACAGAACGAAGTTTAAGAACTATTTTAAAGTTTCATTTATTTCTTATCTTATTCTTATATTCCCCCCCCCTTTTTTTATATATATTTAGAGAGTTGGATCCCATCTGTTCATCTACAATAAAAAAATAAAATAGAATAGAATGAAACTACCTGGCAAAAATGCCAAAGTGCTAAAATGTGCAGGAGATATTTTCACTCAATTAAGCTGCATAGTTAGCCAGGGCACATGTTTCCTACACCTCATGCATCATTATCTGGTGGGCTGAGCTGAAACCAGGGTTGGTGAGCCCAGAGCATGGGTGTGCAGTTAGAGTTCTCCTTTGGGTAAACTGAGGGGGCAACTTCAGGGATCTCTGGCTGCCTTCTGCAAAAGGGGAAGGGGGGTTGTGAGGGTCAAAGTCTATTACATTCTTATGGTCTGCTTTATTATTTATTTCTAATTAGTCTTCCAGCGATTTCTTTATTTTTCACTCCTTTAAAGGAAAGAGCTCTTTTCTCCTCTCTCCCTTTGCTAGTTTCTTTTTTTGTGAAATGTTTATTTACATTAACCAAGACAATGTAACTATTGTGTTAAAAACATCAAGAGGCTCGGCAAGTAAGAGTTTCAGCTTCATTTAGGCAATGTATACCCCAACATCTGTTAATATAGACTTCACAGCAGCTATTAACTACTTTTATAAATTACGGTTGTTATATTTTTGGAATTATTCAATTTATAAAACCAAGGAAATAAGCAAATGTAAAGGTCTATTTTCAAAAAAAATAAGATTTCTGTTTAGCTCACTTTTTAGTTTTTCTTTCATTGAGTACATACTGAGTATCATTTGCTTTTCTTGCAAAACAAAACACAATTTGAAGAAATTATTAAAGATTTGGGTCAATTTTACTAGTTTTGGGTATGCTTATGATTAAGCATATCAACATAGTTTGACATATAAGGAAAATATATCACATGATATAATGATAAAATAGTTCTCTGCCGATACCCAGTTATCATTTTTTATTTATTTTACACACACACACACACACACACATATATATATATATATATATATATATATATATATATATATATATAAAATTGATTTCAGAGAGAAAAAGAAAGGGAGAGAGAGATAGAAACATCAATGATGAAACAGAATCATCAATCGCTGTCTTCTGAATGCCCCCTACTGGGACTTGAGCCTGCAACCCTGTTATGTGCCCTTGACTGGAATCAAACCGGGAACCCCTCAGTACACAGGCCAATGCTCTATCCACAGAGCCAAACCAGCTAGGGCACAGTTGTCATTTTTTAAAGTGTTAGTTCAGAACCAAAGACAATCAGTGAATTTACTATAGGCTAGAGTTACAGCTAAATCTATTTGATTAAAAAGAAGGGGAAAAAGAATTGCATTTGAGATACAAAAAAGTATTAACATGATGATGCATCAACAGTTATTTTATAAATCTATTTAATGATATTTAAGAATAAATTCCTCCATCTAGTTAAAATAACTCTGAATCTGACTCAAAGCTTAGTTTGGCTTTTCTAGAATTTTTTAAAAGAGCTAGACTATCTGAAAGCATAATATTATTATATATATATGCCAATTTTCAGATATCATAGGATTGTAAAAATCTTAAACATTTTATAACTCAGAACTAATTTAAACTCAAATTTTATTAATCCTATATAATAAAAGGCTAATATACAAATCAACTGCATGGCAGAACAACTGGTTGCTATGACATGCACTGACCACCAGGGGGCAAATGCTCAACAGAGGAGCTGCCCCCTGGTGGTCAGTGCGCTCTCACAGTGGGAGCACCACTCATCCAGAAGCCCTGAGCAGGGCACCCTGCTGTGAGCACAGTGGTAGTGGCAGGAGCCTCTCTTGCCTCCGTGGTAGTCGGACATCCCCTCAAGGGGTCCTGGAGAGGGTGTAGGCCAGACTAAGGGACCCTCCACCCACCACAAGTGCACAAATTTTGTGCACTGGGCCTCTAGTATATTTATAATTGACTTCTAAAGTTAAAGTTAAAGTTTTATTAACTAAGCACATATTCTACACAGACCCTTCTAGAAAACAAACTGGTAGGAGCAGTGCTCAATTTGTTTCTTACATGCATTGTAAACTAGACAGCCCTATCAATGCTCCAGCTATGCCTCCAACAAGCTATTACTCCCATATTACCTCCCAGTCTTGTACCTTTATTTTCTTTTTGTCGTTGTTAATCCTTACTAAAGGATATTTTTTCATTGATTTTTTTTTTTTTTGAGAGAGAGAAAGAGAGAGAGGAGGAGAGACAGAGAGAGAGAAAAAAACATGGATGTGAGAGAGAGACACACTGGTTGTTTTCTTCTCATAGACCCCCAACTGAAGCTAGAGATTGAACTGCAAATGAGGTACATGCCCTTGACAGGAGTTGAATCTGGGTCCCTTCAGTTTATGGGCTGATGCTCTACACATTGAGCCAAACCAGTGAGGGCCTATATTCTTTATATTTATACATCCTTGTGCCTAATCCAAGAACTTGTATCATGCATGCTTTCCTATTCTTAAACTTAAACAGCCATTTAACCCTTTTCTAATCACATGAATTTGTTCTCCAAACCTCTCCTCAAAGAATAAAATAAATAAAATAATCATTTTAATAAAGGAAAAGTTTAGGCTCTTACCTCATTTAATGTTAATGAGAAGGCACTAAAACCCAGAGTAAAAGTATACTAAGGCGTACTACATCAATATAAAAACTTGTATAATAATCCAGGGGAAATGGACCTACAGCGCAAAGAATAGTTATTGATTAATATTTATACCAAAATCCTCAGGGCTAGCCATTTTTCAGAAAGGGGCAGGAGTGCTCTTATGAACATAAGGAGACCCATCAAAAGCTTTCTTTTTCTTTCTTTTTTTTTTTTTTTTTGCCTGTTTGTCAGTCTCATGTAAATGATTATAGTAACAGAGCTGTAGTGCAGACCCACGGAGTCACTGGGATGTTAATGCGATGAAATGTAAAACACATACCATATAATTTCGCTGGTAATGAATGTTCTCTTTGTTGAAATCAATCACGTAGCCATTGAAGGACCAAACGAATGTGAGATCCAGGGCAGGATCAAAGGAAGCAGCACACTGCATGGTGGCATTTTCTCCAACGGTGATATCAGCATTAGTTGGGGACAATATAATCCGAGTGGGATCTGGACATGTAAAATAAAGGAGCAAAGCACAATTTAAGAAAATAGTACCTGCTACAGAAGGTTAGGGAGAGGTGGGGGAGATAGATCAACCAAAGGACTTGTATGCATGCATACAAGCAAACCAATGGACGCAAAACACTGGGGGGTGAAGGCATGTCAGTGGTAAAGGGGAGGGAGGAATGGTAAGATATGTACACATATGATACCTTAAGAAAAAGAAGAAGAAAAAAGAGAATGAAAATCAATATATTTTGATTGCTCTGTGCAAAGGAATATGATGTTTTCAAAATCAAATGCCAGGAACAATGTCATTAAGAGATTTGGCCAGAGGCTTTTCAAATGGAAACTTAGCAGTACATGAACTGTTTTAGAAGCTTAGTGCTGACCCACATCTTATAGTACATTAGAAATGCATCACTGTTGCCAAAGCCGGTTTGGCTCAGTGGTAGAGCATTGGTCTGCAGACTGAAAGGTCCCAGGTTCGATTCCAGTCAAGGGCATGTGCCCTGGTTGCGGGCACATCCCCGGTGGGGTGTGTGCAAGAGGCAGCTGGTCGATGTTTCTCTCTCATCGATGTTTCTAGCTATCTATCCATCTCCCTTCCTCTCTGTTAAAAAAAAAATGCATCACTGTCAAACTAAAAAAAAAACAAAACACAATTATAATTAAATGCTTCTTTACCTGTGATAACAAGAGTCCCAGTGCTATTAGCCTTCCCTCTATTATTTTCTGCAAAGCATGTATAGATGCCACCATCATTCCTTGTAATGTTATTGATTTCCAAGCTGCCATCTTCCCAAATGAGTGTTCTATTAAAATGAAAACAAGGAATTCATAAAATTAATTTTATGAAATACTTTATTTTTGTCTTAGATTATAGACACTAGTATCATTAGTTTAGTACATTTTACACAAATTATTTGACAGTGAGATTTTTATTTTATTTTAAAAACAGTTTTTAAATTTATTTATTTGAGAGACAGAAAAGCATTGATTTGTTGTTCCACTTATTTATATATTCATCTGTTTCTTTGTGTCTGTGTCCTGGCGGCCTGAGATCGAACCCTCAACCTTGGTGTACTGGGACATTACTTAATCAACAGAGGGATGCGGCCAGGGCTGACAGTGAGCCCAGGTCTTGCAGAAATGTGACCTCACGACTTCAATTCAGACTTGGAAGTGAGGACAGACTAACATTTTCATGCTACAGAGAATTACAAATATATCTTATTTTTAGGAACCTAAAAAAAAATATATTCTAATACCTCCCTTAGTAAACAGCTTCTATAACAGATTAATATTTAGAAAATTAATTATTTAGAATATAAACCTGTATCCCTCTGCTTTTCTGCCCCTTCCTTAGAAGCTAGAGACCAAAACAACTTATTATATATAACTGTACTATAATGTTTATATATAATGTATATTTATCATATAATGCCTTGCCCTTTGATTTAATATTGACTCGTCTGCCACTGGATATTTACCTTCTTTAAATGTATAATTTCCAAAAACTTAATTTATCTCTGAAGCTTTGCAAAACACATGTCAACAATCCTTCATATATTCTATTTTAAGGGCCAAACTTGATAAAGAAATAATACTATATATCTACCTTGCTAATAAAAACCTCTGATAAGATTTTTCACCAATAATATATTTCAGAATTTTCTTTCCTTTCTTTAACTATCCAGTGCCAACTTAATTTCGGGAAGGAGTATGTGCTTTCTGCTTCGTGAAGAAGAAACGTAAACAAAATAATATAAACCTAAGAGTAATTGCTTGAGACTGTGGAAGCTTTGTCCACATGCCTCTAAGTTCTCCAACTATCTATAAGGAGTGTAATTGACCCACTGCCCCAGATGCCACAATCAGAAGCTATCAGTGTGTCTGTGCCACGCTCACACTTTCCACAGGCAGCTCTCAGTCAATGAATGAGCCCGGGAGGGATTTTAAGGCAGGCCAGTTCCAGAAGATACCAAACTCCTGTGATAGGAATTTTTAGCTGGGCAACTCTCCAGTGGCCTTCCCATACTCCCCTCAGTCTACACTGAAGCCCAAGTCATTTGTACCCAGATTTCCTTCCTTCCTCGACTCCATCTGGAGTAAGATCTGCATCTGGTCATCTACCTGCTGTCCTCTCGGTTTTCTTTCCTCTTCATTGCCATTAATAAATCTCTTTCATGATTAATCCCTTGTTGGTATCTGCTGTCCACAGTTCTATATGATCACAGTACCAATAGTATCATGCCACACTTTTTTCTCACTAGGCTCTAGTAAATCCTTAGCCAATTTTCACTCCACGTCCATTGAATTATTTTGCAAGTAAGTTAATAAAAGTTATAGTTAGGATGCAATGAAAACAACGGCGACAGTTATTATTTTTAGAATCATGCTGGTAGTGTTATTATTCTCACATATATTAGCTCTCAATTGATTGTTACATCTTTAAAAGTATACTTCCTGCATCAGTGATTTCACTATACTTTCAGGCAGTTCTTCCATGGCACTAAAATTAATTTTTAATAAGAATATGTAGGGAGCTTTATTTTTTTTGTAATAATGGTCTTTATAATTTCTTTAAAATATGTTTTTATTTATTTCAGTGAAAGGGAGGGAGAAGGAGAAAGAGAGATAGAAACATCAATGATGAGAGAGAATCATCCATTAACTGCTTCCCACACGCCCCCTACTGGGTATCAAGCTTACAACTGGACATGTACTCTGACCTGGAATCAAACCATGACCTCCTGGTTTATTGGTTGATGTTCTCACTGATCCACACTGGCCAGCAAGATGGTCTTTATTCTTAAATCAATGTAGATCTTATTCTTATTTTCAGGTAATATGATATAGACAAGAAGTCAGACAAGCTAGGAACTATCTGGTCTTTAATAAATTACTCACTAACCATCGCAAAAAATTAGAATAAACTTAATCTTATTTAGTAATAAAATATACCGACTCTGGAATAGAATAGAATTTTGGAGATATTTTTCAACAATGGCTCAGATAAAGATCACTTTACAGCTAATAACCATCTATCAGATATAAATGGACAATTACAAATAATTTCTGTAGGCAAATATATATGATCATCGCCCAAAATAAAATCACACAACTGAGAACCTAGTTATAATTTATCAAGACGTATGTCTCCTCTCTACTGATTGCAAATACTGTATAAATCATTTTACAAGCCACTAACCAGGAAGATAAATTAATTTGTAATGTAGAACCACTTTTTTATAACTATATTAATCAGAATGAAATTGTAGTTACACTTAATGAGTTATTCAGTTACTCACTGACTATTTTTCAACAGAAATAGTTATTTATCTAAAATAATTTATTACTTTAACCTTTCTTTATACATACTATTTTATTACTTTCAAATTTATATTTATATCAAATACTATATTGGTTATAAAGTGATTATTAATGGATTAAAGTAGTGAACAAAATTGGATTCATAGATCCCTTTCTAAAAAAATAATACAATTTGATTCAAAGACCTTAAAGAAATTATGATAAGACTAAAATAGTAAAATTTTAGAAAGTAGAATTTTATTTTCTTTGAACGTGTTGATATTTAAGAAAAACAAATCCATGAAACATGGTTCAGGGAAATCCTTGGCTGGAGAGGCCTATGATATTGGTGCTGACTAAAACTGAAGCCAATGTCTTTACATTAAAAGCTGTTTCAGCAGCAAATTGAACAAATTGATTCTTCCTTTAACATTAATTCTTCCAGTATCATTTCATTAAATTCTTAATAACTCTCAGACGTATTAACTGTAAAAGTTAACGTGTTCAGGGAAGCAAGTGCTATCCCTACACTGTTCTTTCTTCCCACCCCACCTCTGTTCCCCACACACCACTCTGGTGATCATCCTAACACAGGGACTATGTTAGCATACGATCGTTCATATCACTGTGACACATGTTTAAGTTTTCCAGTTTGGAGATTATCCATGTATTTTCAAAAGTTCACTTTAACCTTTCAAGGCTTTAGATGCCTCAACAAAGAGATGATAATGTATCTCTTATTGCTTTATTGGATTATTGTTTATCTTATAAACTTGGCCAGAATACTCTTTTAAAAGGCAAAATACGTTTTTCCTTCTTTATTCAAGCCTTTAGTCAGATTTCCATTACTGGTCGATGAAGCCCAAGCCCCTTAGCACAGAAACATTGTTATTGATGATCTGGCTTATTATATCTCATCTCTTAAAACTCTTCTCTATTTTCTTCTAAAGACAAGCCATACAGATTTTAGTTCCTGCATTCCTTACACATCCTATATTCTCTGAATCAGGGCCTTTGCACATATTACTCTCACTGCCTGGAATATTTCCTGATCCCCCAACTTCACTTCTCACTCCTCTTATTTCTCATCCTGACTGTCTCCTCCCCAGTCTAGTTCTCACTATAACCATAGCTGCTTCTTAGAACCTTCAGTGTGATTTTTATATAAATAATCTATGCAAGTCACATGTTTTTTGTATTACCCCAGAAAGCATTCAGTGTGATTTTTATATAAATAATCTATACAAGTCACATGTTTTTTGTATTACCCCAAAGCCACCAAGACATTGATAGATAATCTATTTGTTAGGAAGATGAGAAGTTCCTGTTCACTTAAGAAGATGGGAAGAGGTGATTAGTAGTTTGAAGTCATTTTTGCATTTTCTCACTGAAATAGTTAGTAGGCTAATGGCATAAACTTAAATAAAATGTGAATGGATATAGATGCCCTTATGAGGAGAAAAAGAAGTTAAAGAGAGCCTATTTTATATTTAGTGTTCATTTGTTTTTGTGTCCTTGGGCAATTTACCAAGAATCTGAGTTTCAGCATTCTACATTCCCTTATAAATTAATTATAGAGGCCTAAAAATTAAATCCTGATTATAATAGACACTGACAGTATTGGCTAAGAACTTCATTCATCTTAGAACTGGAATATCTTCTGCAAAGAGAAGTTGGAACAAACATTTACATTATTAATGTGAAAACAAATACTCTGTAAAATGAATTTTCTCTAATAGTGAATTCTAGTTGGATTCCTAGTTTTTGAACTAACCTGCTGCCATTGACAAGCCACTCTGTTCCTTTACTCCATGAAAATTTTGGTTTTGGTGCAGCTTTGGGTTTGCATTCAATTATAACCCTTCCGCCTTTAGCAGCCAGGATCTTCTTCTTCATAGGATTCATTTCAAAAGTTGGAGCCAAAGCTAAAAGAAAGTAAGTTATTATTTTTCTCTTTTGTTAAAAAAAATTCTGCTAGCCATCTTTTATTTTGTTTTGATTACTTATCAACAGAAAAGATTAATTTCATCAAATATTATTAGCTATGACCAATACACATTTTGTACTAAATACTAATACCTTTTTCTTTTACTTAATAATTTTATGGAGGTATATTTAACATATCATAAAATTCACCAATTTTAAATATATAATTCTTGGTGTCTACTGTATTATTATAAGATTTAGTTACAATCAAACGCTATATAAGTATTTATCTTGAGAATAACATCTAATTCAATTGTTTTGACTGAATTGCACAAGAGAAGTTAAGTAAAAGGCTGAAGGAAATTGAGCACCTTCATTAATGATGACCTATGGTCATAATCAATACTCTCAACCACACTGTAAATGAACTGTCCCTAGTTTACTAAGGAGAGAAGTGATAGCTATTAAAATTACATCATTTGCTGAAGGTGTCACAGGCAGCAAGTACCAGCAAGGAATCACATTAGAATCTAGTTCCTTGTGATTTGCACATATGCTTTTTTCACTAAGCAATATGACTCCTTTCTCACTGAACAAACATGTATTGAACATCAACTGAGTGCAGGTACTAGTGATGGTAAAATAAACAGAGAGAACCCTGCCTTCTGAGTAATAATGAATACAATTAAGGTCATGACTCTCCTGTAGTTAATCTATACCTCCAAGTACAGAAAAATAATTATGAAAACAAGATATAGAGTCTTATAAAAGGTTACTCCATTGAAGGCATGCTCTAAGAAAAAAATAATAAATATTCTAGTCCAAATCACATTGTAAATATTTTTAACTTAATAATGCCAGAATATAACGTGAAATCTAGTATGTTCTGCAGACACCCTCCGGTCATTTTTTAATGTATCACTTTCTTGCTGAATGTTAACAGGAACCAGAAACGATACCGACCTAAGATCTTCAATTCCGCGTTCGCATAAATGGCCCCATATGTGTTTTCAGCAATGCACTGGTACATGCCAGCATTATCAAACGTCACGTCATACAGTCTCAGTTCTCCTTTATGATACTGAAGAGGACACAAAGGAAAAAACATTTCCTCAATAAACTTCCACAGAAACACTTTCATTTAGGTGTGGGCTTGGGTGTCTTCTTATTTAAGTACATTCTTCTGCCCCTCTATGAACCAAACCAAGGGGAGTGGGATGTTTATGGGGGAACTCCAACCCGCTTACCACACTCAGTGGCTCTTATTTTACTCCTCCTACCGAGCTGAGAGCCCACCTTTTCCCCGCCCAGCCCAGCCGGGAGGCCACAGTGGGAAGGTTGAGAAGGTGACTCTGCTGCTCCTTGTTCCCAGGGCTAACAATAGGACTTTGCTCTTACCTCTGTTCCTGTGGGCCAGGAAAACAGTGGCAAGAAAAAGAGGACAATATCATGGAGGGGAGATAGATGAGTAAAAAGAGGGGTGAAAGTGGAACAAAGGGAAACATAAGGAGAGAAAGAGAAGGTAGACATAAGATTGCAGAAAGTTGTTGAAGCTGAAAGAAGATAATTTATGTTCACTTTCTTGCTTGTTTTTTTAATGAAACTTTTAAAAATTATTATTAAAGGTCCCATGTCTCCTTACTCTATTGACTCTCCTGATATATTTATCCCAAGACCAAAGAAGCGTTATCTAAATATGGACCCAAGAACCACAAAGTACGTGCACATACATACCACATATCCATTTTTCAGCCATCGGATGGTAGGAATGGGCTTCCCCGTGGCTATACACGGCCAATAGAGGTCACTGCCTATATCCACCTCTGTGTCGTTGATATGCTCTACCCATTCAGGAAATGCTAAAAAATAAATAAAATGAAATAAAATAAAAAAGAACAGTGTAAATGTCAAATGTAATTCTCAACATTCACCATAATTTTCAATATAAATAATGCCTTTAGTTGACCTTCATTACATCAGCTCTGTGTGTGTCATAAAATCAATGTGAGAGACATTGAAAGTGAATTTCCGTAGGTAAATTTTAACCTATGGTATTATAGCAGAAGTTAACTATAATTCAATTTATTATTATTTTTCTTATTTGTGAACCATGTTATATTAGAAAGATAATACACGAATAGCAGTAAAGTAATTTATATTTATAACACAAATCTTTCAAAATGACAAAATTTTAAAGAATATGTCTTAATTATGACAATATCTCATCCTTTTTAGGATAAAGAGTCATTTTTTTCCGACTCCTTCAGGTGTATATTATCTTTCTTTTAATGTAACTTTGGCTAGTGTCCACAGTAACTTGACTTGTTCACTAAAATAACCATTATATATTATAAACTACATACAGTAGCTATAAATGGTTAAATCTATGCTTAAGAGAAATTGATCTCAGCCTTCAACTAATCCAATCTATTGAGAGCTTAAAAATGCTAGGCATTTCCCCCCAAAAAAATAATATTTCTAGAGAACAAACAAACATCCTGATAATCTTTTTCAGTATTAGGTTATTTAAGTGAAATAGTTCAAATAGATATAAGTAAATAAGTTAATATAAAATAAAGGAGTAGATAGGAGAGAACCCTAGTAAAGTATTTTATTTAATTTTCTTTGAAAGTAATTTTAATTATATTCATTTTATGACCAAATCAATAAATATATCTTTTATAAAATACTTAATGTGTATAAATAACAAAGACCTAAAACTTTTTTTTTTATATTTTCACCCAAAGGTTTGTTTCCATTGATTTTGAGGGAGGGAGGGAGGGGGGAGGGAGAGAGAGGGAGAGAGAGAGAGAGACATCAATATTTGTTGACTCTTATATGCACCTGGACAGGGGATTGAACATGTAGCCTTTTAATATACAGGATGATTCTCCAACCAACTGAGCCACCCGGCCAGGACGAGACATAAGACATTTTTATGATCTCACTGAACTCCATCAACATTATGTCTATATATGTATACATATATTTTTATAGCACATATAATTTAGTATGCTTTTTGCTTATGATTATGTTTTACCTATAATATATGGAGATTACTTTTAAATAAATATTCATAAAATGGTATATGAACTGATAGAGATTTTATTCTGTATATAATCTTAGTAATAGATAAAACAGAAATATCAGCACCATTCCTGCCTTAGCCTCACACAGGTGACACAGAGATGTCATATTAAAAATGAGAAGAATAAATAATTGAATCAGCTTGTTGCATCCTATATAAGATTTAATTATGCAATCCTCTGCTTGTTTGATTAGACCAAAAGATAAAACTTTGGAAGCCTCATTAGTTCAGAGAAATAGCAATTTCCTTTAATATCTGCTCTGTCACCTTGATTCTTCTAAGAATTTACATATTAGATAGCTAAGAACTGTACCCTGTTGATAACTTGGAGGGTAGATTTCTTAACATGTTGAATTAAGACCTAGAAACCAGACAGAGAGTGGCATTTATATATATTTTTTAAAAGTGTAAGAGTTCTAAGCAGAATTTTTCTCCCCTCAAGAAGCCACCCAAGTATATTTGAAATGTATCAAATGAATTTTGCTGGGATATTAAATATACAAGTTTGGAAGGCAGTGAAAATGTCTAGGTCAGAGTTTTGTGACTGAAATTAAAAAGTAAAAATAAAAATAAAAATAAAAATAAAAATAAAAATAAAAAAGAGGTTCAAAGACCAAATCCCCAGGGCTCCAATGTTGGAAGGACATGGAATGAGGAGGAGAAGGAGAGGGTGCAGGAGGATAGTAACAAAGCGTGGGTTCCAGAGCAGACACCTAGAAAGCGTATCATGGAAGAGGGAGGGATCAACTATGGCAACTGCTGTTGTTCCATCAGGAAAGATACAGCTGAGGATTGGCCATCAGCTTTGGCAAACAATGGATGGCATGGCGATCATAAAAGCAAAGGTTTCAGTCAAGAGGTGGAGATAAAAATCAAATCAGAATGTATTTAAGAGAGGAGGGGAAAAAGGAAGCAGCATTTGTAGAGTATACACAATTCTGCCACATTTTTTATTACTTTTTTTTAGGGGAGACAAGAAGAAAAAAAAATAATGGAGCAGTAGCCAGAGATACATGAAGAATTTAAAGAAGAAACAAGAGCCACTAGTGGAATAATCTAGTAAAGAGAAAACAGTACTATGCTATAAGGACAAGGGACGGCTGGGACAATAACCTTAAATAAGTAAGAAGGGTACAATCTGTACACAAATGGAGATGTAGGCCTCAGAGAGCAACTGAATTTATAAAAAGAGATGTGGGTAAAGATGCAGGTATTGGGTAGATGTGGATGGGAGAATGTAGAAGTTCTAATTGAATTACTTTCATTTTCTCTATAAGATAGGAAGCCAACTTACAGGTTTGAAGGAAGTAATGAAGTAATGAAACGTTTACCTAAAAGAGTGGGCAAGTAAGTGGACCTGGGAAATGTAGTATAATTGCCCAGGAACACTAAGATTCACTTAAAGTTAGTGATACATCATTTACAATGAATTAACCAACATAGTAGCATTTATCTCAAGTCAAATTCAAGTTCCTGGTTCCAGGCACTGAGAGGCAGGGAGCTTGATTTTCCAGGGTTAGCCTCTGCAAAGCTAGTAAGACAAAGTAGAGAGATGAGTGAGCTGAGAGGGTTTACAGGGAAGTGTTACTGATGGATCACAGATATATACTAGTATACTGTATAACACATATGTGCCACTTAATTAGACAGAACACATATTTCATGATTTTGCATCATGTAATATACTTCACTGTTATTAAATTATTAATCACTGTGTGCTATTAGTTTTTCAAGAATGAAAATGGCTGTACATTTATAAAAAACTAAAACAAAGTATCTACCTTGAACATAAATTCTTGCCTGGTGTCTGTCCTTCCCTTTAATGTTCTCAGCCTCACATTCATAAGTGCCTTCGTCTTCGAGCTGGATGTTGAAGATCTTCAGGACGGCCCCGGAGGTGCTGATCTCGGCAGTGCTGGGCATGGGCTCCAGGACCTTTCGCCACCGGATGTCAGGAACAGGGCTTTAAATAGGAGATGCAAGAGCTAAGAGTCCACAATGCTTCGGAGGCAATCTTATATTTATATTGATAGCTAAACATTGACATCATTTATTTCCAAAAAAGCACAAAATTAATGTATTTATATATACGTTAATGAAAAATGTACATACTTACTTGCCCAGGGCAAAACATTCCAAAGTCACATTTTGGCCCATCAATGCATATATGTCTTTGAACTGAACTACAATATCAGCAGGATATGGTTTTGTTGTCCCTAATATTAAGAAAAAGAAAAACATCAGTGAATTAAAAACAAAATACTGTTTTGTGTGTATGTGTGTGTGTGTGTGTGTGTTTTAACACTGAATTTTTTATGGTATTAGAATTGATTCAATATAGATAGTTTTTCTCTACACAGGTTTTGAAAAATATCTAATCAGTCACAATGTGTATATTTATTTTTATGCATTTTATGTATATAGTATTAAGCTTGTCAAACATTTTCTATCACATTAGCACATCTGACAGCTGTGCAAATCAATCTGATTCAACTCACTAAAAAAATTTCAAGAATTCTTTAGGGCACATCAAATATACATGTCAAACATTGTTCTGGGTGCTACATGGATCTTAGGAAGAAAAGGAAAGAAAGAAAGAAAACAAGGGAGAAGGGAAAAGGAAGAAAGGAAAGAAGGAGAGAAAAAGGGAGAAATAAGTGTCCATGGAGAATAAGGCAAAGGGGAAGTAGTTGAAAAGAGGGAAAATAAAAGAGAAAGAAGGAAAGAAAGTGTCTATTCAGACATCACTGTGCTCATAAATGCACTGTGCTCATACATTGACTGATTTATGTAACACATCAGTCCTAAAAGATGTACTGTTCCTTGGTTGGGGAAGAAATTGGCTCAGAAAAGTGAAGTACATTATTTAGGATCACATGTGAGTATGTACTTTATACCATATGATACTAAAGAGACAAGGAAATACACAATCACCTGAAATATAAGCCAAAATGAAAATAAATAATCTAAAAAAAAAGTAGCAGCCAAAAAAGATAATTGGACATGGGTATGGGAATTTATTTCAGGTAAGAAAGGCATTTGAACTGGACTAGTCCAGGTTGAGGAAATAGCATATTATGACAAAGCTTCAGATGTGTGCAGGAAATTAAAAAAAGAAAAGATCTAGCAATTCAAATTATGTTAAAGTAAATGTAGTTAAAGATGATCTTGAGCACCAATCTAGAGGCTTTTAACTGTGATATTAAATCTTTTGAAATTACCAACAGGTTTGGTACAAGAATTATTATAAATCTTACCTTTGGTTTAGGAGAAGACCTTTTTGGTAGTTTTTAAGAATGGAGAAGAGAAATATAGGATAGAGTTAGAGATCTAAGGAAGATTGTTTCATAAATTTATAAAGAAAAAAGATGAGAGTCTGACCTAGAACACTCACAGAGAGAACAGAAATGGAAGAAGAGATCTCAGTGGTGTGTTAGAGGGAGAATCCAGAGGGCTACTCTTAGATCAATGTTTTCTCAAGATGTAGATTAAATATCTAACTCATCAGAATCACCTGGGATGTTTGATGAACTTGCAGATTCTTGGGACACTTCCCAGGCCTGCTGAATCAGCATCTTGGGGTTCCACATTTTCCTCAAACGTCCCAAATGCTTACTAACTGAAAACCACTAAACTCACTGTCCTGAAGATGAGGAGAGGAAAGGAGTTGATTAAGAATGCTACCCTAAAAAAAAAAAATGCTACCCTGAGATAGTAGAAATATAATGAGATTGCTAAAATTAGGGATAAGAACACCAGAAGAGATTTAGACATAAGATAACAGGTGTGTTTGAAACATTGTGAGCTGAATATCCTTGAGCACCTTCTCTGTAAAAAATCCAGGCAGCAGATAACATTAAAGACTCTAAACACAGGGAAAATTTTTTTTGAAATGTGAATTGGGAGCCACTTGCCTTGGGTGACTGTGGAAATGTGTAAATGGGTGAGAATATATAGAAAAGATTAGAGAGAAATATAAGAAAGAGGAAGATATGCATAGAATTTGTCTGGGAGGCAACTGGGAGACGAAGAGTGGAAAGAGGAAGGACGAAGGAAAATTGGGCAAAGAAGGGATAGTTCCAGAGAGGCTGAAGAAACCAATAGTGTCACAGAATTAGACTGAAAACTTCCTTTGGATTAATAAATAGAAAGTTGTTTGGGTTACTGAAGATTGTTGGCACTGAAAACAAAAGAAGACAGAGAAAGAAAGGAATGGAGAGGAGTTGGAAGATTTAGAAAAGAAAGGAAGTGAGTAAGTAATGAAGTCCCTAATAAATCAAATGTGAGGTGAATCAGGACATTTGGAGGAATTAGATTAAACAGGAGGAGAAACACTTCTATAAGTTAGAAAGTAAAAAAAAAAAAAATCAATAGAAACACTGAATTTCTGGGAAAAAATAAGAAAAAACGGTAAAAAAAAAAAGTTTTTATTTCATGGCTCTTTTTAACTCTGTGAAGTAGTGAGTGAGAGTGTCAGTAACCTCACAGGGTGATCTGACTGTCAATTCCCAAATGGCCACGTCATGGTGGGCAGTCAGGCCTTAGGCCTATCCCATTTTTAGTGAGAGGTTTTTAAGTAAACCTTGTCCATTGTTCCTGTGCACCTAGGCTAATATACCTTTGTGAGATGTCAGAAGATATATCTCTTAGATTTAACCACCCTTAAGAAAGCACATAATCTTTTTATTCTGTAATCCAACCTCTGCCTTGCTTCCCCCACTTTCATGTAATCTTCTTTATGTCCCCTCTTTAATCTCACATGCATAAAAGAAACTTCAAAACTGTTATTTTTTCTGGAACATTTGAGATCTTGTTTCCCAGCATATATCATCAGTTTGGCTCAGATAAACTCGTACAAAAATTCTCTACAGGTTTGGACATTTCTTATGTCAAGACAACTGAGATTAGGGAGAGAAAAAGAGCCAGAAAGTCAAGAGATATTTACTGAATTCCAACCAATGTGAAGTAAGCTAATATGTTGTGATCTGATTTTCTGAAGAGATGGTGCATTAAAAAAAAAGGAAAGCAATGCCGAAACCGGTTTGGCTCAGTGGATAAGCATCAGCCTGCGGACTGAAGGGCCCTACATTTGATTCCGGTCAAGGGCATATACCTTGGTTGCTGGCACATCCCCAGTGGAGTGTGTGCAAGAGGCAGCCGGTGGATGTTTCTCTCTCATCAATGTTTCTAACTCTCTATCCCTCTTTCTTCCTCTCTGTAAAAAATCAATAAAAAAATATATTTTTTTTTATAAAAGGAAGGCAATTTAATAGGAGCCTGGGAAAAGGACAGTCAATTACGTCAGTGTTTACAGCATATGGTGCCACAGTAATACTACGTATGCTAATTACTTACATCAGAAAGGCAATTTATATACCAATATGCTTTATGTAAATAGTTCCTTGAAAATATCAAATTAATCCAACTGCCTTTTTCTTCTCATTCTGTAATAATACAGTTTATAATCTAATTATTTATTCTCCTTTATAAACTTAGTAATAAGTGTGAATGACCATGAAAACAAGCAGATGTCAGTGATTCCCTTGGAATTAATATTCTGATATTTGGCTAATAAATCAATACTTTGTATTCCTGAACTAGATGCAGTCAGTCCGAACTCTGCCATCTTAGGTTACTTTCATGATGCTCATCACCTCTACTGAAAAAGCTAAGGAAGGACCAATACTCTTAAAGTGAGCATCCTTTGTTTGCCCTGACTGAGCAGCCAGTGCATCTCCTGACTGGATATTTTTTTTTCAATATACAAGGTATTCCAGAAGCAGACAACCTTGCAAAAACAGAATCTATATTATATATGTATATAAAAGACTAAGTGACTGGCCAGTAACTATGATGCATAATGACCACCAGAGGGCAGATGCTCAATGCAGGAACTGCTGAGCACCAGCAACTTTGCAGAATGCCCTCTTGCACTCCAGGATCCGTTGGGGGATGTTGGATTGCTGGTTTCAGCCTGATTCCTGCAGGCCAGGCTGAGAGACCCACCTGCTGGAGGAAACCCACTCACTCCGCAGATGCCCATTTGAGCCCCAGGTGCAGCCGGCTGGAGAGGGACTTTGGGAGGTTGGCTCCAGGGCATGTCCGGTCCCTCTTGCCCAGTCCCGACCCACCAGCCACCTTCTAATTAATTTTCTTTCAATGTGCACAAATTCATGCACCAGGCCTCTAGTATAACAAATAAAATACTTACGTTCAGGTAGTGGAATGAGTGGGATAAATTTGCTGAATACACTCTTTGTAATAGAAGGACTGGATACAAAGCAGGAATAATTGCCTTTGTCTGATGCCTCAACATTCGCAATGTAGAGATTGCCATTTGTCTGAGATACAAATCTTCGTTTATCCATTGTGATAAACACAGGAAATTCATTTAGAAGCCAGCGGTAGCTAAGATCATCTAGAAAAAAATATATTGTCTAATAAATATTAAACTTTTCTCCAAAAGCAAAAACTTCATTATCTAGTAATAACCTAGAACATAATCTAATCTAGGCTATTATAGAGCAGATGTTGGAAGGAAGACAAGACAGGGCAAATTTTCTCAAAGCTACTATAGTGTGAGTGAATATAAGCATATTGCTAAGCAATTATATCTCTCTTTCCAATTATTTTATGGTCTACTAATATTCTTCCAATGCATTGATGGACTAAATGAAACTCAAGAGAGATTAAATGTCTTGCTTAGAATTTCATGACTATTAAGTAGAACGGGATTTTTTTTAAATCAAAGTCTGATTATTCAAAGTTCATGATCCACTTCCCTCCTGCATTTTAAAAATAAAATCAATATTATTAACCATACTGTGGCTTTATGTCTTTTTTGTATTTGTGCTCCTATTGTAAATTATAGATTTAGAAATGAGTTTATATAACCTGTTCTGGTCACACTAAAAAGTAAAAATCACAGAAACAGAGAAATGCATGCTACTGGTTTTGTTAAATATTAGGAAGCATACCATATGGTACCTCAGGAAATTCCTTTGGCTAAACCTACTGATTGGCGTGACCAAAAGTTGAATTTCTTCATGAATTTGCTCCTTTTCATGCAGTTTTATATTCCTATCTCCCCCTGCTACTCTGAGGGAAGATTCCCTGGGTGTCATGCCCAGCAGGAATGCACAATAGGGAACTATGGGCATTTCATACTTCTCAGTCACAAAATGCTGATGCCCTTGAAAATGCCATGACCATGTGATGATAACTGCTACTAGGAAGATTATAAGAGGGGATCTCTATGTCAAGTTAGATCGGATGTTAGATATGAGATGACACACTACCCTGTTGCTTAAGGGAGTTCACCGTGACTGGTACAGCTGTCACAGGAAGTGTAAAAGAGAGCTGACTATGGAAACCTACAAGAATTTCTTGGGCATAATAACCCAGGGATTTCCATTTAGATTAGCTATGTAATTTTCTTCAGCAACTTATACAATCAGGAAAGTAAATGAAGATGATTACATTATGCTTCTTCTTAATTTTAAATTTTAAATGACAGAAGTGGTATACTTGTATTATCAAAATAAATAGAAAGTATTGGTAGAGCTCAAAGAGAACAAAATATTAAACCACCATAATTCTCCAATGTAAAGTTATTATTAGAATATATCTTTTTGGACATTTATACCTGTGAATAATTCTATCATTTTAATAGCTATCCTTATGCTGATTTAGGGTGAGGTACAAACCACAGAAGTATCAAGATAGGAAGAAACTTAGAGGACAGCTTAAACTGCTAAATTGGGTTCTTGAAATTGGGCAGAAAATAATGCCATGTAATCTTTGCTTCAAAATGATACTGGATCAAATTGTAAAACATACTGTAAATATATGATTTGTGAAATAATTCTTTCCTATTCTCATTTAAAAACATAACAATATGTTGTCATGATTTCTGATTACAATTAAATTTAAAAAAAAAAAAAAGTAAAGGAAAATATAGATTTCCTTACAAAAATTTTTCTAAACTTACACTGCTTTCAAGATAGCACACACAAAATGTATTCAGAATAGTCTGGGTACTCAATATTATGTGAATATGAAGACCTGCATTTTAATTCTAAACTAACTTTGGTCAGCCTATTTTACCACGCTATTATTCAATTTCTCTAAAATTTAAGATTGTGTTTTGTGTTCCCCTGATAAGAAATGAATGAAGAAGAATGGATAATGTTTACAGATTTGAACTTTTAAGGAACAAAAACTAGGTCAGTGAAATTATCATGATGATATGTGTATGAACATAAGTATTGGACTATTCAGCAATTGCTCTGGCCGATTTAATGCCCGATGAGAATTCTCCACTTATTTAATACATACTGAGGACTAGCCCAAGCCAGTTAGCTCAGTTAGCTCACTTGGTTAGTTTTGTTCCCATATGCTAAGGCTGCAGGTTTGATCCCAGTATAATTTATGGCATAATATTAGAACTATAAGAATATTAAACATATAAAACAGTTCTCCAGTGTGAAAAAGTGGTATTTCTATATTGCTACAAGACAAATATAATAAATAAAACAAGTGAAAATTATTGAAAATATATAAAGACCTAGCCAATTTTGGCTCAATGGATAAAGTGTCAGCCCACCGACTGAAAGGTCCCAGGTTCGATCCCTTGGTTGCAGGCTTGATCCCCATCACTCATTGGAGTATGTGAGGGAGGTAACCAATTGATGTGTCTCTCTCTCTGCTTTTCTCTCTCTCTCTCCTCTCCCTTTTATTTTCTCTAAAAAAATCAATGGAAATATATCCTCAGATGAGGATTAACAATAACAACAAAAAAGAAAATATTTGAAATGTTCAACTTTGGCAGCTTTTATTACAGCTATATCAAATTACTGAAAACATGTATTCAAAGTTTGAATCTTGTAACAGGTAACAATTTATCTCCTTTCTAAATTAGATGATTATTCTTGCAGATTGGTGCTCCTAATGTTTGTATCCCTTTCTTATGTCTAATTACAGTTCACAGTATATTGTAGATGTTAAATTGCTAATAAAATGACTAATTACACATCACTCCTCAGTACCATTTTATTTCAGGAGTAATTTGTAGAAAGTCTACCATATTTTCTCCAGTGTAACAGAAATATTAATGGGAACACAATCTAACATATATAATGTGTCCCCAAAATTTATAGATGCACGTTGAATAATTAATTATAAAGGCAGTGTTTATTAAAAATACATTTCATTTTTAAAACTGAGCTATTAGCTGTCAAAGTGTGTATATATTTTTGAGAATATTATTTATAAACAGAAACAATCATAAATCTTTGGGATAAGGGCCAAGTAATTAAAGAACCAAAGAAAACACCCTTTCTAATCACTAGTACATGATATATTATATTGAGTCCAATTTAATTATAAATGTACCATTGTTGTTAAGAAAATTAAAGCTTGCCCAGTTCATTCCATAGACGCTCACAGTCATAGAGAAAGTTACCTGGAAAATGATATGGAGGGTCACAGAGAAGCACTATTCCTTTTCCTTCTTTCACTCTGACCTCAGGACGTTCCTCAGGTGGGAAAGTATCAAGATCTAATTATGAAAACAAGAAGGAAGTGTTCACTCTCTCTGGTCAACAGAGATAGTGATTAAAGTTCACCTTTCACCTGCTCACTCACTTGGGATGGTTCTTCTCGGGTGGTTTGGTGAAACCAAAGTCAATTCCCTGTTTCTAGGGTGGTATATTTACATACACTACAGGCTTCTGTGGGGAACCTGAACTTACAGATACTGGTAGCAGCCAACATAACTCTTCTGACAACCCTAAAAATTCCAGATATCCCAAACTTTTGCTTCACCTTTAGGAAAACTCTCAATAAGAATATCTGGAAATACAAGGATAACAGACAAAACCAGAGATCTGCCAAAGAAAACAATGAACTTAGAGGCCTGGACTTATTTGAAAGGTATATTTCCCTTTCTGAGTTAGGATTCCAAGGTGGAGAAGGAATTAGGGTGAAAGGCAGGATCCGAGGTGAGAAACATGAAAGTCAGCAATCTCGTGGCCCTTTTCAAGTTCTGTGTTTTCCTCCATTCTCATTTCTTTGACTCTTCCCTATGTATTCATTTGGAACTCACATTTTTCTTGGTTTCTGCATGCTCTACTATTTGATTTTTCATTAGTTTTACTGTAGCTCCTTCTGTTGCCACCTTGCCTCATTCCGTATCTGTCATCAGTACTCAAATTATAAAATCTAATTGTTATTTCTCTCAATATATTTATATCTCTGAAAAGTCATCCTCCTAATTGTTACCTTTGCCCAGAAAAACCTAAATATCATATCTAGTCCTAATGTCTCACTTCAATGCCACCCCCAACCTCATGTACTTAGTTGATATTTCAACATAGATAACTTACCATAACCTCTACATGTAAAATCATTTAAATAAAACCACCCTTTAAATTGGTTTTATTTGCTCCCATTTCATTTTTTAAATAGAATAGAATATTTCTACCATTTGATTAGACTTCCTTTAAAATATATATTTAGTTGCCCTAGCCAGTTTGGCTCAGTGGATAGAGCATCGGCCTGTGGACTGAAAGGTCCTGGGTTCAATTTCAGTCAAGGGCACATGCCTGGGTTGAGGGCTCAATCCCTAGTAGAGCATATGCTGAGGCAGCCAATCAATTATTCTCTCTCATCATTGATGCTTCTCTCTTTCTCTCCCTCTCCCTTCCTCTCTGAAATCAACAAAAATATATTTCAAAAATAAATATAGATAAAATGTATTTAGTTAAGTGCAATGCAATCAGTCGATTATTTCTACAAGGATTGTTTATTACTTACAGTCCCACTGTTGTCACACCCAACTTAATCTGACTTTTTCCTTACCCTGCTCATTGCCTCCCAGTAATCACTACCATGTGGATCCTTTTAAAACATCATTTTCATCCTATAATCAACTTTCCAAAAGATGTAAATGCTGACCTATGCACTCACATACTGCAGCACCTGGAGGCCAGCTCCTCTCCCGAGGCACAATATCCCTTCAGAACAACTTCTAACTGTTAGCTCAGCACAGTGTTTCTCAAAATATTTTTTATTATTGCCCACCCAAAGAGAAATTTAATTTAAGCTAAATTTAAAACAATGGATTTGATTAAATCATGCTTTAATTTATTCACAGTGAAATAAATTAAAAGAAGGGGTAAGACTTTGTCAAGTAGGGTTGCATTTTGGAGAGCCACAAACCGGTATGCTATAATATCCAAGATGGTTTCTCCTCACCAAGAACCAACTTTCACTCCCTTTCGAGTGGCATCACCCCCATGGAGAATACATTTCCATTGATGCTAATCTTTAGAAACTTATTCAAGATCTTTCAGGATATGGCCTTAGCTTATTTTCTAATGTTACCTTTTACTATTTCAAGTGCATTTATAATACCTCTTAGGATGCTTTGCTCTCCTGCATTTCCCCCCCCCCTCCACACAACTAAGGCCCACAAATCAAGTTAGAACCATCTATGAACACTTCCTCTCACTTCCTTTCTTCCTTATTGCTCCTCTTGTTGAACTCTTATAACATCTAAAGTTTACTCCTCCAAACCATACTGTGTTTTGTAAGGTTACAATTACTTACATCCAAAGCTCAGGGTGGCTTCAGTGCTCCTGACCATGCCATAGTTGTTTGATGCTAAACAGTAGTAGACTCCAGCATCTTTCTGTTTGTCAGGGTTGTTGATAACAAGGTTTCCTCCTACCATACTGTACCGATCATTTGTCAGATCAATATCCCCATTATTCATTCTCCATCTATGAGGAAAAGAAATACATTTCATTCAAATGAACTTTTGCACAGCTAATATCATTCTAAATTAATATGGGGGCAGCTCATTGTGAATTCAGGCAATTAAATAGATGGCTCGCTGTGGTATTTCTTTACACGCTATAATTGCATATTCTGGGCTCATGATTTATAATTTAGCTCAGGCACAGAAAGGTAAATTTCAAGTACATGAAATAGTCCCACTTTTTTTCATGAAGCATCTCAAAGGATAAATACTATATTTAATTTTCTAGATAAATTGGTTTCTTAGCTGATATACATGGCTTATAAATGATGCCCATCTTTGCACTAGTTCAGTTCATACATACATGAGTATGGTGTGTAAATATTAAAAGCATTACTCTGAGAGAAATAAAATATAAAGTAATATGTCAGAATTTTCCAATTAAACAAACTAAATGAAATCAGGATTTTCTCCGTAAATGTCATAATCTGACCATAGAGGTCTATCACATAATTTGAAAATGATAAAAATCAATTGAGTTTTGGTTTCCAAGCCACAGATGTAGTATTGTAGATATGGGGATTATGTTATAAATAAATTGACTAGAAACAGGAATCCAACTTTCCTGGTGGGATGATAAGAAGAATGCATCTGGACAGTAGTTTTCAATTAAGCTGCCCACCTGCATAATTTTATAGTGATTCTGTATCAGGGTTCATCCTTAAGGTTCCTTGTCTTCCACAGTGTTATAAGAGCTATCACCCTCGCTGGGTTGGTTCCTTGTACAGAGTGTCGGCCTGTGGACTGAAGGGTCCCCGGTTCCATTCAGGTCAGGGGCTCCCAGTTGCTAACTGGATCCCTAATAGGGGGCGTGCAGGAGGCAGCCGATCAATGACTTTCTCATCATTTATGTTTCTATCTCTCTCCCCTCTCCCTTCCTCTCTGAAATCAATAAAAATATATATATTTAAAAATTGTAAGATAAGAGCTATGGTTAAATAGGGATATAACTGTGGTTGCAGTTATTTCCTGGCACTGTTCTGATTAGGGTCAGAATCTTGGCAAAGAGGCCTAAGAATATTTGGAACATTCTTAGTTTTAAATTTTACAATGTAGCACATGATTTCAAAGCAAACATGGAAAACCTTGCTCTGTGTTTTAAAAAATCACCAAATTGCCAACCAGTAAAATCCTCTCCCTTCCCCAGCTGATGGCACTCTTGTCTCTGTTTGAACCAGCCAATGTCAAATTGCTTAGCCTTTGCCAAGTGAATGAATGGGTTTCCCTTTGGGCAGTTCCAGTTGTTAAGTTTTGTTTTGTTTCTTCCCCAAAAACAGTACGTTGACTCTAGTTTATTGCCTTAGCTTCCACCCAGGGGATCTGATTCTGCCTTTCATGCCATATAATAATCAGGTTTTGCTGTGTTTGAGTAAGTTCACTGGTCTCTTTAATTTTCAGAAACATCCACAACATTGTTGTAATCCCTCTCACACATCATTAAATGCAATTTTATCTGAGCCCTTGTTATTTGGGGAAACAAATAACAAAATCCGTAAGGCTGGGAAGTGGAAGGCTTAGCTCACTGTTAATACCTTTTAGGATGTTTCCAGGAATAACAAATTATCACAAGTATGTGCCACAGATATAAAACTACTAATGACAAATTGCATAATGACTAAGTTAGTAAGACTTGCCCCAACTATTAAGTAAATTTTTAAAACTTCAAATGTTCTTTCCCATCAGACAAACTAAATCCTTAGCTAATTTTTTTTTTCTAATTATGCTGTGGATGGCAGACAGCCTTCATAACAAACGAGACACATGCTTTTCCCTGCCAGCTCTACATTAATGTGTAGAGTCAGGCCCCACTTGTCCTGGCAACTTCTGTGCCGTGCCACCTTGGGAGGGGTGTTTGCCAAGCGAAGTTGTGCTTCTTATCTTTATTTTTGAAATTTTGGTAAGAACACTTAATGGGACTGGAGGGAGGGGGAAATAGGGGGTTGCTAATAACAATGTAGGAAACTATAGTTCTCCAAAGCTTTGCTTCTGTGTTTGTGGGGATAGGGGTGGCATTGAGAGGGCGGCAAGGAGGAGCACATGTTTTTAGAACACTGACTACAACAACTCTTGTGTGTTTGCCTCCTTTCCAGCCTGATATGCTAAGGTTCTATGTGTGCACGTCAAGGACACAAAGTCACAAAATAAGAGCCATGGATATAGCTTTTGAGATACTGTCAGACTACTAAACATTACACATTTCTTTGAAAATCATGAAACCTGTGTTTCAGTTCTGGGTCTTTGATTTACTCACGTTGAAGAAAGTCAATTTACTTATTCAGGTCTCAGCTTCCTCTCCTATAAAATCATGTGCTTGGATTAGATTTCCTCTTTAGCTCCTACTGGTGATACTGTTCCATGTCCATAAACTCCCACTATGTATGGCTTAAGGGTAGAAATAAGTCTATCCCATCAAATATATTCAAAACAAAGTATAATTTATAACATATATACTTATATTGCACTCCCATGCATGAAATTAAAACAATAAAAATAATTTAAAAGGGATAGTGATGTGGTTTCTAAATTCATATATTTTGTTTTAAGAATAATTTTGTTATAGCCAGAGGCAAGTAAAAATGAGTTCAATTAGAATTCTTTGATAGCAACTTTTTATACAATAGAAAAGCCAATTTTATATCCAGGGAAAAAATCTACTATTAAAATCAATCTTGTTTAATGACAACCTTCAATTACGTGAGGTGACATTAACATACTAGAGCCCCAATTTCTCCATCAATCACTTGCTTTGTCTTCATGGAACCATTCTATACATGAAATTCAAATCCATTGGCATCTGTTAAATTTTTGAATCTTATTTTTTGTATCAGGCTAGAAACTCTTAATGTATCTTTCTGAACCATCCAAAGCAGAAAAACCCATTGTTATATTTTTTTAAAAGTTATTTTTTTATATCATCAATAGGTGCCCCATAAAAATAGGGGGGAAAAGATTTATATAGATTGTTCAATAGGCAGAGGCATTTAAGAAATGTGCTGTGTTGTCTGGACATATATTCGAGACTATTGAAAAAAAATGTGTAGCTTTCTAGAATTATTTATGCAAGCACTTCAAATGAAGTTAATATAGAAATGTTACCCATCATTTGTAGGTATAAGTTATCTAGGCCAATACATATATGAACATTTTATCTTCACATGTGCATGATCTTCATATAACCTTTTGTATGATTAATATGATTTCCATCACACAATTTTTATTTTTATTTATTTATTTTTTAAATATATTTTATTGATTTTATACAGAGAGGAAGGGAGAGAGATAGAGAATCAGAAACATCGATGAGACAGAGTCATCGATCAGCTGCCTCTTGCACCCCCCCTACTGGGGATATGCCCGCAACCAGGGTACATGCCCTTGACCGGAATCAAACCCGGGACCTTTCAGTCCCTAAGCCGACGCTCTATCCATTGAGCCAAACCGGTCCCGGCCCATCACACAATTTTTAAATTGATAATGTCAAATGGCACTGGCTTTATTTTTTGCAGAAATTAGTAAGTAAATTATTTATTTGCATATGTTTAAGAAAATTACTATCTACTTAGGCATTTAACAACTTTTTAAAAATCTCTTGTCTGCCAACATTTTTGTTAATGTCCCTGGACTTTGTAGAAAGCCTTACAGCACAGCTGTCTCGGTTGGCACCAGCCACCGATGCTGACCTGTAATCCCTAGTTCACTCCCCCATTTGGAAAAAGGAAGGGCAGAACGTTACTTGTAAACCGGGAAAGGGCTGGCTCGTGCCCTACAGTTGAGTGATACTTTTCCTTCTGGTGATTCTTCTGGATAAATGGTATTAATTGGTTGCTCTTCAAAAATTGGTCCAAATCCTTTGTCTTCTTCAGAAACTGTAATGAAAATGAAATTATTTTACATTGTGCTGGTTTATAAGTAAAATAAAATAAAATAAAATAAAATAAAATAGGGGCTATTAAAAAGGGGTTTTTTTTGGAAAAAACAAGTCAGAACAGAATCTCTATTTTTATTCAGACTGAAGATAATTTGCTTCTATAATCCCAAGGAAAACATTTAGGTTTTTATTTAAAAAAAAAAAATGTCCTGCCCATCTCACATCACTCCTCCCAAAGCGAGGCCATGCTTCACTGCACACAGCCCCTCAAACAAGTCATGTTTCCACGCCTCTGAGCTTTGCACGTGAGGTTCTTTTCCACAATCAGCATCAACATTTGTGCGGTCTTTTATGACTTAGCCATAGAGTCCACGCCTTTAAGAAGTCACATCCCACCTGGCCTAGCTCATTGGTATTCTCATAACTCTTTGTCCAGCGTATGGTACCTATCCTGTGATTCTCTTTGTTGTTGTTGTTAATCCTCACCGAGGATACTTTTCCCTTGATTTTTAGGGAGAGTGGAAGAAAGGGGGAGAAACAGAAACATTGATATGAGAGAGACACACCAATTGGTTGCCTCCCACACACACATCCCCACCAGAGCCAGGAATGAAGCCTGCAACAGAGGAACGTGCCCTTGACCAGAATCAAACCCAAGACTTTTCAGTCCAAGGACTGATGCTCTATCGACTGAGCCAAACAGGCTAGCACTACTGTTTGATAGCTTTCTGTTCCACTAGATTGTAAATACTTGGGGACAGGTGGCTGTTTCCATAATCTTGGTATAATGCTCTTCTTTGCTATCTGTGTAGTAGTCTGCAACAAATAAGGACTTAACAACTTTTGAACAGCAAAATAAATTAATTTCTAAATGCTCTGTGGAAATTTGTTCCTTTCCTGTGTTAGTTCTTATTTTTTTCCTAAACATGTGACCAACACAGGTACTTAGCAACATCTAGAACAATCAACAAATTAACATGAATATGGGAACTGGCCAACTGGCTTAAAGTCCGTCAAAAAATATATATATATACACGTTGGAAAGCAGTTGTTCCTGACAGTGCATCCTCTCTGGACAAGAAGAGGAATACCTCACAGCCACAGGAGAAGAAGAGAATCACTCCACAACATCACTATGACAGCATTTACAGAACAGAGCAAAGAGTCATATGTCCCAAATGAATTGATACTGATGTGTATGGCTAGGAAACAGGCATATTCTTACAAGAAATCACTGAAGTACATTTTCTAGATCCAAACTATGGCTCACTTCTCCAATTTATTGTGTTTGCTCTAGCATCAACCTTGAGGATGAAAGCTTTGTTCATTTCCCTTAACAAACAGCTTAATTAAGTCATTTAAATCTTGCCTTGGTTGTATTTAACAGCCTATTTATTAACCTCCATACCATGGGGAGAATAATAAAATATACCTCATTAGATTATTGTGATAATTATTTTGAGACCATATATGAAAGACCTGGCTTATAGTAAGCAATTAATGCTATTTTTCCTCTCATTGACAAGTGCTTTTCACAAATTGTCATTTTTAGGCCACAAGATATTTTAAAAAAATAGGTTATTATCATGTTTTCAATATATATTATTTTTAAAGTATATACCCTTTTTCTTAGTGGATAGACTCTTCTGAAAAGGAGAACAAAATTATAAGTGACTTTTCTCACATAATTGAAGAAAATAACTAAAATCACACTATGTTATCTGCTTTTAATACAAATTCATTTATTTTCTACAAAATGGTTATAAGTTATTGCAAGAGGAAGTTCGTTTCACAAAAAGATTAACACAAAAGAAAGAAGTCATATCTGAATATTTGCTGTCAAAGTTAGTCTCCTGCTTTTTCCCGCACCATTCTCAGCTTCGAAATTATTATCATCAGGTAGTTGGACGATCTAAAATGGGATGCTTCACCTCTCACTGTGTGGAAATGGTCCAGTGTCATCTTGCTATTCTATGTTATTTCTGGAAAGTGTAATTACAATTCATGCTCGAGAGTAATTTTTTATTCATTTTACATCCATTTTGAAACAAATTCTATTTCTCATTCTGTAATGTCATCTAAATCTGTTGGTTATCAAACATAATCTTACATATTTATATTTGTTGTAAAAAGAGTCTCAGGGAGAAGAATCTATTAGAAAAAAGCAATGGTGAAAAAAACTTGAACAGAGTCGAATATTGGCATTTTTACAGTGTTGACAATGCTGTAACAGGGTTATGGCCTGTGTTACAAGCTCTCTTGAAATACAGTAACTATTTCAACTCTCTCAAAGCATACTTCTTCCAGACAGTACAGGCTGTTCTCTGATGTTAGCTTTTCTTCCCCGGTAAGAGAACAAGGACATTTAGGACTGGAGCTTTAAATCCGTTCCTAGCAGATTGGTGCCCCAATCTGCTAGGAACGGATTGCAGGTAATAGGTAAATGATAGTAATTTATCATAACTAAAATGGAAAGGAGTTGGTCTCAAGAACGTGCATCAATCATTCATTAGAACAAAGACCAGGTCAGGTTAGCAGGAAGCTTAAGTTGACTAAATTTTCTCTTGCATGGCTTTACCCGCCCAAGAAGAGCCTACCACATGTCTTCATAGCAACTATGTCTTTGGCACATGGTCCACCCCTTAAGCCTCTAAACCCTGTTTTGTATCATTGGGGATCTTCTCACACCCACCTTTCTGTCCGTGTATGTATGCTGCCTTAAGCTTGGGAATGTCAGAAGCAGGGAGGGGCCAAGGAGGAGCCTTCCCTACAGGCTCAGAGGGAACATGGCCTTGGTAACACTGGTTTTGAACTTCCAAACCTCCAGAGCTATGAGACTATTTTCTGTTTTATCAAGCCACTCCGTTTGTGGATGGCAGTCCTAGGCAACTAATACATGTATTATACTTATTATATAAGTAGTTTAAGAACTATCTAAAGTTCATAATAAACTGTTAAACTTTAATGAACTAGCCTTTCCCAAATTAAATGAACATTCATACCCTTTCTAATATAATTCCTATGAACAACCTGCAGAACAAGTGTTCTTTAAAATAGACCTAGCACACCCCATAGTTTCCCATCCCTGTACTTTCATTTGTGCTACTTCCTCCAAGATTAGCTCCATTTCTAGCATTTGAAATACTTACCTACTACCTCCAGCATTAAATATTTCCTAATTCCTCAAAGTAGTTAGTTTTTTTTTAATATATATACACACGAGTAGCCCTGCATAGAAATCCGTGTGTCAGTAGCTCTCTGCTGTCCTCTGGTAGTGTCCCCCCCTAACCCCCCCTCTCCCTCCCACTCATAGCTTGCTGCCCTGACCCCTCCTGTAGTTTTTTGCCACCCACTTGTAGTTCGCTGCCCCACCCTCCTGCAGATCCCTGATGTGGTCATTATGTGGTTGGTCTTTTATGCCTCAAGGTATAACAGATAATTAGCATATCCCTCTCTTAGTATATAGGATTTTTATTGATTTCAGAGAGGAAGGGAGAGAGGAAAGAGAGATTAGACATCAATTATGAGAGAGAATCATTGATTGGCTGCCTCCTGCATGCTTCCTACTGTGGATCAAGTCTACAACCCCAGCATGTGCCCTTGACTGGAATTGAACCCGGGACCTTTCAGTCCGCAGGTGGACACTCTATCTGCTGAGCCAAACCAGCTAGGGATAAAATGTTTTTTGTATTTTTCTTGTAAATCTGTTACTTAACTTTTCTTATTCCCTATTCTAAGGTAAGGTTCTTTAAATCCAGATAATGATCTTTATATTTCGACTACATGTGATGATTCGTGACTAATGAGGTGGAAACAAAAATAGCTTAGGTGGAATTCAGGCTAAGATTTTCCTTTCTCTTAATCCTTATAGCCACCTAAAACTGAAAGCTCTCTATAAATATCCTTGCTTTTTATGAATATCCGGGCATGAATATCCTTGCTGCATCATGGAAGGTGTAGCCATGTTTGCTCAGTGATTCTTCCTGAGTATTTGCTCTCCTCACTACTGAGCAGTGGCTTTTATGTTACCAGTTTTACTGTATTTACTGAGCACCTATTATGTAGTTACTGTGCTAGAATCTATTGCCACATCTTTTTCTTAGTTTTAAGGCTTCATAAGAATCCTGTGACTTTTACATATTGGAAATTAGAGGTTTACAGAAGTTGAATAGTTGAAAAGACTATGTTGTGAGTGGATGCCAGGTTGCAAATGCAACTCCCAGGTTGGTCTTACTCAAGGCTCTGATTTCTTCACCATATCATACGGCCTCTGTTTCTGGCAAGAACTGTTCAGTGGTTGAAGTAGGTCTGCACAGGGTTATTAATACAGCTTTAATAACAAACAATACATTTTGCAACATCTTTGGACTCCTTAAACTGAAAGAGTACCTTTAGTTCTCTCTCTCTCTTTTTTCTCTCATTCTCCGTCTCTCTCTGTCAGCAATGTCTAATAAGTTATTTTTTTTGACTTATTAAAGAATAAGTTAGGTTTTTATAACATTTAAAATAATGATTCAAAATTTAGTAGCAAATATTATTACAAAGAATACGAGAACAACACAGGCTACATTGAGTATTGTCCAACTGTTGCAAGCCTCTAAGACAGTGATTTTCAACTGCTGTGCCTCAGGAATTTTTAAAACATGTGATACCTGATTATTTAGTCAGGGGCATGGACCTTTTTTCTCTTAGAATGTCATATAAAAAAAATGGCTACAGCCAACACCAAAATAGCCATCCAGTGTAAATGAATCAAAATTATATCTATCTTTTTTTCAGAACAGCAAAAAAATATATATATAATATATTTTTTGGTGTTCTTCAGAATTTTAGTAATTAGTTTATGTATGCCATGAGATGAAAAGGGTTGAACATCACTTCTGTAATAGGATATTTATGTTGTATTCATTCATTTATTTTGGCAATCAAACATGTTGCCTTTTGACTCCAGATAAAGCTTCTTACAAAATTTCCAATGGTTTTAACATTAACCATTTTGCTTTAAGTTTATAGAGTTGGTAACTTAAGGCAGAGATGAAATATGATTGATTTGAGAAAGTTATTTTTAAAAAGTACCCTTTCATCAACTTACCTCCATGACCATACCTTCTGTGCCATGTAAACTCTAAAAATGAAAGAAAAAAGATTTTAATCCCAAAGCAACTCTTCAAATTGTGGTTTCAAATATTACTCAACTACTGAGGTGCTAGTCAATGAAATGAGATTACCTGTTCTTTACTATTAAGGTTAAAGTATCAAAGTAGCTTTGCAGACGTTTGTCTTTGCAGTTTAAAGTTGTAGTGCTAAAATTTATGGTCAACAAAATTAGTAGAATATTTAGTACTAACAAAATTATTTTAGTTTTATTTAATTCATAAAATAAGACAGTGAAAATAACCCTACCACAAAAATTTTCTTTATTATATTTGCATAATATATGTATATAGGCACACAAATATATATATTTGTATAATTTCTGTGTCATATCAATGTCATTGAAATTATTAAGCAGTGCTTAAATTATTGATTTTTGGGATTCTTAAGTCATAATAATTACTCCCCAAAATAAAATAGCAATTTTAATTTCTTTAATAATAAATAAGATACAATAGAATGTCCATTAGGTCAGCATTAAGGAATCAATGGAGATTGTTAAATGATAGAATCCATTTATGTCTTGAATTAATAGCAACTCAAGTATTTACTGAAGTTAAGGTAATAGAGATGGAGGTATTAGAAAACTGATTGTTAGAAAACATGCTGCTTCAAAGAGAAATATGATGTACCTCTCTTTGCAGAAAAGATTTCTTAATGTGCCTGTACATATTTTTAGATTATTTTAAAATTGTTTTTCATAAGACTGACAAGCCAGTTAATATAAAATAAATTAAATTAAATAAATAAATAAAGGTAACAAAAGCTTAAAACCAAGTACTAATCATTTTGCCATATTTTACTTTTATTTATGCTAATGATGTTATGTAAGTCTATTGTATCTATATAGGAAAATACTATATAATGATGAGTTATTAATTATCTTTTCCAAACTACACTAAATGCTTTCAAGTTGAAATAGGCTACAGTAAGACTATTAATCCCCAGAAACTGACAAATGCTATTCGCAGTGTTTTTCCCCCTCCCAGAGAACCTGATATTACACATTTACCAGCATACCACTACATAAGATTAACTGAGTCTTGTGAAATTTTATTGAAAGTAAATTAAAAATAGAGTCAAACTTGACATATATTAATTTACTTGCATGACCCCAGGGGTCAAAAGAAAATATTCAAACTTTCTACACCAAACTTAATGAAGTGGACACACACATTGATTATTTAGACATTAGTTATGGGTAACATGGAAAGGGTATTTCTTACCTGATAGGCAGGTTGTAAAAGATAATATCACCAGGTGACTAACCAGCAGCCACATTTTCATCTTGTGTTCAGTAGAGGTTAAGTGCAATTTTCAAAACAGCTTTAGCTTTATGGCAGTTGGATGATATTAAAAGCTGCATCAAGGAAAGAAAAGAAAAGAAGGGAAGCAAAAGGAAGAAAAAATGTTTGTCATTTGGGTGCAACAGCATTATTAACTTTACCTTACTTTATATTCCTTGTGTTTAGACAATGTTTTAGTTTATTTATTTTTTTTTCAAGATGGCTAGTTTTTTGTTTTTTTTATTAAAATATATTTTATTGATTTTTCACAGAGAGGAAGAGAGAGGGATAGAGAGTTAGAAACATTGATGAGAAAGAATCATTGACCAGCTGCCTCCTGCACACCCCCTACTGGGGATGTGCCCGCAACCAAGGTACATGCCCTTGACAGGAATCAAACCCAGGACCTTTCAGTCCGCAGACCGACGCTCTACCACTGAGCCAAACTGGTGCCGGCTGTTTTAGTTTATTTAAATACATTTGTAAACCCCATGTAGGAATGGAAAGAGTAGATTCAGTATCAGGCCCTCAGCTGCCTCCTAGTACTGACACTGTGTGACCATAAGCAAGCCAATCAATTGGTATGTTTTAGCTTCTAACAGTTTAACAATTGAGTATGATATTATCTTTTCTACAAATTGCACAGTTGTAAACATTTTAATATCAATGTTTTGATTAAAGATTGAATTTATCTGAAGGGCTGGTGGTACAAAGATTCAACTAATGATTTGTTTGTATAAGAGCTTTGACAATCTCAGACATTATACACTAGCATTATTTATTGATAGTTTGTGAAAAAATTTTGCCAAGAATGTTGATTTTTAAATGTTAAAATATATTAATTAATAATAAAGTTGTTCCCCTTCATTTCTTTCATTTATTCATTCTACACATGTAAATAATTGCTCCTCATGTGTTAGGAAGGGAGAATCTAGGATTTGTGGGGCAAAGTCATTAAAAGTTGGAGAGTTGTATTTAAGAGCAAAGGGAGAAAATTACTAATACGAACTAAGCTATAAAAAGGATATCTTACTTTTATAAATTCCCTCCAAATTTATGACCACGTGATTATATTGGTGAAACCTTATATATTACACCCAGGGCCTTGGAATAGCCTCACGTGCATGAGGGGATCCATAACTTAAGCTTCATCATGTTTGTGGTAAACCCACCTCTATGAACAAGCATATAGACAAATGAATAAAAAAGAAAGACATCATTTGTTTACCCTTAAGAAATTCACAGATCAATGGGAAGCATGTATAAATAGTTCAGTGAGATAGCTGATTGGATCTGTATACTATTAAGCTTGGGGCCATGTCAATCACTTTAATGAAAAGCATGGTAGGAAACATCAAGGTGGGCACAGGTCTGACTGTGGCAGACAGGGCATTGGGGTGAAGGTACTGCACTATTCGATTTAAGTTATTTGATGGCTGCAAAATCCAACTGCTTCTTCTAGAACTTGTTGAGAGCAACATGTCCCAGGATCATAGAAAGAGATCTCTTCAATTGAGGTACAATGGGAGTGTCAATATAAAAAGACATTCATTCATGTTTTTGAAGGATATGTAATAGCCTAGGAAAAATCTCATGACATACAGTTAGATATTATATATAAATTAAGAATGAGCCTGGGAGCATTTCCTAAAAGAAAATACTTAGTGCTATAATGTTCAAGATATAATATTTCAACACTTTCTATAATTGTGAAAATAAAGTGATACTGATTGCTTGCATTGTAATGACATGCTAAAGATCCTTCTTATGTTTTTAGAACCTATTTACCCCCATCCAACAACTCTATACTGATTTGCCAGATGCCCAGCATTTTCAGAAACTTACAAAAATATTAATTATACTACGTGGGACAGGACAAATATATTTTCCCTTTTGGTATATAGATTACTCTGAAGTGAAAAATCATTTATTTTGAGATAAAGATGGTGGAATTCTTGGAGAAAACAGTTAAAATGGGTCAAATTAGCAATAAGATATATTTAAAATATTTTTACATGGGAAAAATATTCAACAGACAAATTTTTACATTATAAAAATAATTTATGATCAATTTTTTGACATATATAGGTGACAACTATACATCTGTTTGCTCTTGAAAAATTTGGACCACGTGTAGGTATTCATTTTTCAGCTGGAAAGACATCATCTAGCTCTCCTGTTTTTTTCGTTCTCTCAGAGAATAACCCAAATAAATTATTCAAAACAGCATAAACAATACATTAAAAAGCATGTAGCCGCCGAAACCGGTTTGGCTCAGTGGTGGAGCATAGGTCTGCAGACTGAAAGGTCCCAGATTCGATTCCGGTCAAGGGCATGTACGTTGGTTGTGGGCACATCCCCGATAGGGGGTGTGCAAGAGGCAGCTGGTGGATGTTTCTCTCTCATCGATGTTTCTAGCTCTCTATCTTTCTCTCTTTCTCTCTATAAAAAAATCAATAAAATATATTAACAAACAAACAAAAAAAGCATGTAGCCATAGCAATTATTCAAAAAATATTTCATACTGCTATATAATTAAATGATGTACCATCAAGACAATAAACTAATATTTCATTGAACAATTTACTATACAATAATTTACACTGAATGAGAACAAGATCCTAGAATTCTTGATTAAATATTTGTAGAGAAAAACTAAATAATACTTTATGTAGGATATATATATATATATATATATATATATATATATATATATATTAGAAAATAGCCCCATTTCTGTTTCAGAAAGAATAAAAAAGATTTAGGGATATGTCAGAAATCTATTCTGATATATCTTTAACATAGCCCACGAAAAGCTAAGTTAATAAGAAAATTTAACCTACAATTTTACTCATGATGCTCACCTGGTCCTATATTACATATGGTCCTAAAGAACATTTGCTATAAAGTTCTATATCAAAAGACACCACTGTCTCTACTCTGCACTGTAAAACCAGGGGACATTTTATCTTCAGATTTCAAATTTTAATTTCACTCTGAAATTCTGCCTCTGCTGCCCAAGTCACTTAATCTTCCTGAGGTGTCAGCCTACCAGTCTGAACCATAGAAAATTAACTTCCTTCTTCAGACAATTAATGTGAGGACTAAATCATGTATGTTATGGATATATGTTTGGGTATGTGTGTGTAAGAGTCCTTGGTACATTCCAGAAGTCAAAATATTAAGGTGCAATAAATAAAATTTTCCAGAGATAAAATTAGTTTTGAATTTTTAAAATGCTAATCTTTTAGAAGGGGGATAGGGATAAAGAAAGGATTGGGATAAAAAAAAATGAATGAAACCAGGTTATGAATGGGAGGAATGAGGGTAACAGGCTAACCTCAGATACATGGGGATGGTAAAGAAGCAATAACATGCCAGTGTGCTAAAATGTTTACAAATCACTAATCTATATGATATATCATCTTATCTGCCAAAACTCTTGAGACTTCTGCAGATAAAGTGAATTATGGGGATCATATGGATTGCCCAAAGACACACAGCTACTAACAGAGCCAGGGTTTGTCCTTCTAGTCTAGACAGATTTAAATACTATAGTTTTTTTATTATTTAATTTTTTAAAAGATACAAAATGTTCTTGCTCTAAACTGAATTGATATTTTGTAAATTCAATGATTAACATACTTTTCAATACAATCAATTTCCCGAAATAAGGTGTAGGGGGCATCTACATTAACATTATTTGGTTGTACTTGTTAATAAAATAAATTTACCAGCAACTCCCAATAATAATTAGTCTCGGGAATAGCTGAAGTATCTGCATTTTAACCAAGCTTCCCAGGTAATTGGTAGGCACACTAAAGTTCAAGAACTATTGCATTAAGTGTGCTAGGTAAAGGTTAGGAATATTTTCACCATTCACAGAGAGCGTGCAGATGTGTCCTGAATTAAACAGGCCACATCTTTAGCCACTGCACTCTAAAGATCAGAAGATATGCAACATTTAATAACCTGCCTCTTAAAATTATGTCTGCCCTGTCCTTTTCTGTGGCACATTGCATAGGTGAGAATTTAATATCACCTATGACTACATCTGATTTACTTTACCATATCATAGTGAACAAGGCATTTTGATATTATGTTTTGACTACTACCTGGAAGGTTTGCTACTTTTACATGAGACCCTCTTATTGGATTATAATGACATGACTGAGCGTGCTTTTAACTTCTTTTGTTGTAGTTCAAAGTGATCTGAGATAGCAGAGCCACTACAGAGCAATGTGCTCTGTGATACCTTCCCTGTGAATCATATCTAAAAACCCAGAGCAGGATTTAATAACACTTCGACTGCAGCAAAAATCCCCCTGCCAGCGAGACAGAACTTTCAAACTTCTTGCCCTTTTGTTCCCTCACCTCCTGCAGCCACCATAATGCACAAAAGGACAAGACCTGGGAGGAAACCGAGTTTGGAAGTCTCACTCAATTTACACTGGGAGCTTTAAAGACTTCCTGGGTTGTAATCTCCCTATTGTATGCCTCTATTTCTCTGCCAAGGTGGCCATATCTATTAAAAAGACATTATTGCTACTGTATGTCTGTTTTCTGAGTCTCCACTCTAAACCATTCTCCCTAACGGGACAGGATGCTAGCTGCTGCTGCTCTCTCCACAGTATTGGTATGCCCCACATATATAAGAGCAGGTATTTATTCTACCTTGCCAATCTAAAGGTACACGTACTATCTTACTATCTTCTGACAAGAGGCCCACCCTGGGGGGCGGAGGGAGGGAGGCTGAGGATTTTGAAACTTCTATCAGCTGCTGTTCAGAGGGAGAGAAACTAAACAGAAGGCACAGTCCTCCTGGAAGAGCATGATGTAACTCTTGACATTTTGTCTTTTTAAATGACAAGGAAGACTGAGTCATTGTACTGATACAATACCTTATAGTATCAGTAACATGACTGTATGTCATTGTATTAATTGTTATCTGATGAGTGATTCCTACTCAAATGATGTAGGCCTTTATTCCTAGAAACAACA